CACCCACTGCTCTAAGTAAACCAGGGACCACAAACTTCCGGCCCACAGGCCAGTCCCAGCCAAAGCAATAAGCATTCCAGCCTGGGACTCCCAGCAGGTTGGAAGGGGACTGTCCATTACCAGTCCCCAAGTCCCACCCCTTTCTGCCATGGCCCCGCCTTCTCCCCCCTTGGCACTCCATCCCGAGCACAAGGCTTTGGGGCTCACTAGGGATGGGAAGAGGTCTGGTATTGCACAGTGGAAGGGAAGTGCAATGGGCATGCACACTTGCTCTGCTTCCCCCATGCCACTTCAAGGGGGTACAATTACTACTGCCCCCTCCGCCCTTGATCCCCAAAGGGCGATGGCAGTAAGGATGTTAAGGACTAGTCAACTATCAGATAGCAAGGGGGGCGGGGCGGGAGGGGAAAGGTACTTCAAAGTGGTGTACCCCAGGCTCTATGCTTCACTGCCACTTTGAATTGCTGTGGCCAGAATTATACAAACAGAAAACACAAGGAAAAGTTTCCAGTCAGGATGTGGAACAGTTTTCAAAGAGAAGTGGTGGAACCCCTATTTCTTGGAACACTTACTATTAGCCTGGATAAAGCATTAACAATGAGCTGGCTGGCTAATCTATAATCAGTAACTCTTTTCCATATCTGGCTTCTATGGTTTTAAGTGTAATGGTTTTTGAGCATATATCTATTTCAAACTACAGCAAAAATGAGGATTAAGTGAGTAGTATTACTCATGACCTCTTACCAATCTTAAGCATTGAGGGTAGCCTACTTTATTTAAAATCACGTTTTATAAAACTTCAGAAAAAAATTTCTAACAACATTTAAAGATTTGAATTTAAACTGTTCCTTTACACAAACCAAATATTGCAGCACGATATTAGTCACCATATGCAGAAAACAGAAAGTGGAGATGACTAGTATTTTTGTGGCTGAAACTGAGCAAAAAATAAAATAGCATAAATGGCAAAGAGGACTTTAGAAGTAAATGTTTATCAGTCACCATCAGTAAACATCTTCAGAAACATTTTTACTCAATAGTGTAAACATTTGACCTAGTTTGGTAGCATCTTTTTCCATTTCTTTTAGGATGTTCAAAATGTGGATAAATCTAATAGAGCTTAGCCCCATCCTCTTCTCAAAAGCTTTGAGCAGAAATGCGATTAAGATGTTCTCTCCCCCCATACTCCATTTGTATTAGGGATGTAAAAAGTTAACTAATAGGGGCTGGAGCAGCTCCCTACCTGCCATGGGGCAGGAGGCTGCTCTAGCCCCACGGGGGCCCACCGCAGGAAGGGGCTGCTCCGGCCTGCTGACAGAGCCTCTCCCTCCCCTGGGAATGGAGCAAGCAGCCCCTGCTGGCCCCACTTCAGGGGAGGTAGCTTTGCTGCCACAGCAAAGCCTCCCCCCAGGAGCAGGGCTGGCGGCCCCACTTCCAGGGTGTCTTCGCTGCGAGCTCTGCAGTATAAAGCTTAGCCACAGCACGTGTAACTACTAAGATTTTTAGCAGTTACAGAGTTACCTTTTTTAAATGACTTTTTATATCCCTGATTTGTATACAGGCAGTCCCCGGGTTACGTACAAGATAGGGACTGTAGGTTTGTTCTCAAGTTGAATCTGTATGTAAGTCGGAACTGGCGTCCAGATTCAGCCGCTGCTGAAACTGACCTCCAGTTCTGACTTACATACAGAATCAACTTAAGAACCCCAAGCGTCCCCAAGTCGGATCCGCGTAAGTCAGGGACTGCCTGTATATACTATGTAAGGAAGAGCTTACCTTTTGATAGATTTCTTTCTTTCACGCTTTACTTTCACATTTCTAAATTTCCCCCTTTCTCTACCCTCACATAAAATAACACTTGACAATTACATAGTGCCTTTCATCCTGAAGGATACCAAAATACACTAAAGATGATGGCCAGCTTTTATTCCTGTGCTTAAGTGTACCACATGCATATTGTCATTATATGAGTCAATGAGAGTACTGTGCATGCCAGGAAATCAGGATGATGTCTAAATTGATACATTAAACAGTGCACGCCTGAATTGGTTAATACTTTTTACAGTAGAAGAGCATAGTTTCTCCTTATATTTCTAAGGGCTTAGGAAGGGAGACCAAGGGTAAATCCACCTTTCAGAAAAAGACTCCAATTCATCTGATGAAGTGGGTTTTACCCACAAACGCTCATGACATAATATATTTGTTAATCGCTAAGGCACGGGTGGGGAACCTTTTTTGGGTTGGGGGCCACTGACTCACAGAAAAATCAGTTGAGGGCCACACACATAAAACCCTCACTTAAGTGGCACCCGACTGAGAAGGAGAAAAACACTCCCCACATTCCCCTTGCACACCAAAGCCTGGGGGGGGGCAGCTTAGTAGGCAAAGCCTCAGAAGCGCGGGAACCCGCCCGGTGCCCCTGGTCTGCTGGAGACAGTCTCCAGCAGACCAGGGGCACCGGAGCAGCTTACGAACGGGGCTCTCTCGCCCCGGAGCTCGCAGGTAACAATCCACCACCTCGACCTCCGGGGCGAGAAAGCCCTGTTCGTAAATGCGGATCCGACGTAAGTCGGGGACTGCCTGTATATCAAATTTCAACAGAAATATTCAATAGACCCTGTAACAACAAAGAACTTTATCATCTGCCTAACACGGTCTCACTGACAAGCATTTATTAAGTAACATTTTTCTGTATGAATATTACTTTATTCAACTCATTTCTAATTGAGAAGTTTCATTTTACTTTGCTTCTTTTTGAATTACAGTAAACTTCTGATAATCTGGCACCTTTAGGACCCAGGGGGTGCTGGATTATCAAATATGTTGGACTATAGGAAGGGGGGGCTATGAGAGGTCTGGGGCTGGAGTGGGGGGGGGATGCGCCCCTCAGCGCTGTGGGACCAACCCGGCAGCACCCCAGCTGCTCTGCCCCAGACTTCCCCAAGTCAGCCGCTGCTGAAACTGACCAGCGGCTGAATCGGGGAAGCTGGGGGCAGAGCAGCTCCAATTGTCCGACTGCCCGGAGCACTTCCTGGTTCCAGATGGTGCCAGACCATCAGGAGTGCCGGACCACTGGAGTTTTACTGTAGTTGTTTCTCAGGTAGTCACAAGACAGGCAATAAGTAAATAACATTTAAAAAATATTAGTGAAACAACCAAAATGAGGGACCAGTATAAGTAGAAAAAAGTTTTAATATGAATTTGGAATTTTTGTAACTATGTACATTAACACTTCAAATGTTGAAAGTACAGACTTAATCATAAGAGATAAACTACCACTTAAACTCCTTTTTCAGATAAAGTCAATTGAAGGGCTCTTCACATATTTAATCACTTTCTTATAGCCTTACTATACTTTAAAATAGTTTTTCCTGTGGGACGACAGAGTGATGTCATCACATCTCTCTATGTCCCATGGGAACATGCCCCACCCACCCCCAGGGCGCACGTGGAAGGCTGGGGCTGCCTATGGCCTCAGTCCTCCTCTTCCTAGCAGTGGAGGGAAAGCTGGGTTTGGGATGGCATGGCTCAGCTTGGGCCTAGGCCCTGCGCACGCCGCCGCCAAGCCACTGGAGTTAGTTAGGCCGTGGTAGGGAGAAGGGGGAGGGACAAGGGGGCCCAGGCGGGAGAAATGGGCCCTAGTGTGTGAAGGGGAGGGGGAAAGGAGAAGGGGCCTAGACTGGTACGGTCACAGCCTGGCCCTTCCTGGTGGCTGGGGGCAGAGCTGGGGTTGACTTTATGGAGGCTTGGGTGGGGGGAAGTGGGAGCGTGTGGAAGCCGCATGACCTCTCTGGGACTTGGGTGAGGGATGTGGGAGCCACAGTGCCTTGGGTGGGAGGAGGGGGGCGTGCAGGACCCGTGCAGAATCCCTGAAGAGAAGGGGGGCACATGGGAACTGCATGGCCTTGCCCCTTGCCAGAGGCGGGGGAACAGAGCTACACCCCTTTCCCCCTCCCTGCCATAGGGAGAGGGCCAGGAGCTGTGCCCCACCCACCCACCAACAGAGGGAGAAAGCCTGGCCCACCTCAGTCCCGCCCAACATAACCTCCCCTCCCCCTGCAGCCGGAGGGAGCTGGGCCAGCTTCAGTTCGGTCCACCTCCAGAGGTCAGAGGGGGAAGAGCCAGACCAGCCTCTGTCTTGCCCAACCAAACAGCATCTGGAGGGAGGGAGCCAGAACAGCTTCGGCCCCTTCCTGGTGGCTGGACAGGGAAAGATGGACCAACCCGCGACCCCCGGTGTCTGGAGTGGGGAAAGCCAGGACAGGGCTGCTATACCTTGACCTGGCCCTCCCCAGTGGCCAGAGAGAGAGCTGGGGCTGCCTACCCCGAGAAGGGAGCTGGCGAGCGCAGTGAGCACTGCCCCCTAGTTATCTTTTAAACAGTGAAGCTGTGTTACACAAAGTACTCCCTGTCCCCACCCCTCTCTAGCCTCTACCACCAGGGCTAGGCATTCAAAGGGAGCTACACAAAGATGATTAAGTGCTAAAACAACCAATTAAAACAAACTTTTTTTTGTTAAGGGAGAAGGTATTGGACCAGGCTAGGAAAAAACCAGGAAAAGCTAGTAATTTCAATATATGTATTGCAATTCCTTGCTGTCCCCAGAAAATCTCATGCCTTCAATATTTTTTATACTGAGAATTAATTGATGAATCTGTTTCTATTGTTGAATGCCCATAACACATCTTTAAACAAAAATATTTTCACATCCTTGTACTTGAGTGTGTGACTTCTGTTTCAACTATATCAGTGATATCGCACTGCATTTTTAAATGTGGACCACAAACACTAAATATTCAATGAATGAAAGTTAAGAGTGTATATTTTGCAAATTGCTAAGCATAATTGTGCAATGTAGAAGTCAATTGCCTCAGAATCAGCTATTAGCCACATTAATACACTATGAAAACAGTCAAATCCTTAAAAATTGCACTCTTTGTAAGACACAGACTTGCTGGAAGAATTAGTACTTTAAAAAAATAATAAGATCATTATGAAGGAGACTCTTAGGTTGTCCTAACATTTCTATACCAATATTGCCTGAAAACACTATGCTTTATCATGTGGCTGACACTTTTTTGTTTAGAAAGTAGTCTTCAAAGGCTAATACAGCCATAATGAAAATAGTCAGAATTTAACTTTCCCACAGCTGCAATTTTTCAGAAACTGTCTTTTCTCTCCAGATACCTTTGTTCCACAGCACCTTATGTCAGGACACCTTAATACTCTATTTAGCTGCTGAAAATCTATCACTTGCAGACAGGAAATTTACATTCTGGTCTATTTGCATTGCCCCCAAACAGTGAGTTTTTTGAAATTTTGGACTTTAGTTGTTTGAATTACAGCTGGTTTGGTCTTCAGGCGATGCAGAGAAAGGAGTTTCATCAGTTCTGGGACGTTTCGATGCTGGGGGATTGTGCACAGGATCATCAGAGGGAGAAGGGATCTCTGAAAAATTGGGAAATAATGAAATCCACTTAGTTTCATTCCATGTTTATAATTTTTAATTGAAAAAAATGAAGACAGTCCTGGATACCAAAGTCCTTTATCCACTATACAGGTATCGTGCAGGAGCATCAGTGAAAGCTGGTCTATGCAACCCATCAGGATGATGTGGAGATTAATACCTCTATGCCAACTCATACTGGGATGTTGAGACTGACTGCCAGGATTCTAATTAACATCAACTGGGTTGCTGACAACTAATATGGACATCTATCCATTAGCAACTGGATTGAGAACAATAACTCAATTTACATTGTCCAAAGTATCAGGTAACAGTAGCTTCCAATCCTGTGAGTTGGAGATGCAGGATTCTGAATTTGTCATTAATCCCTCTATATTCATGTTTAAACTAAGACTTACCCATTTACCAAACTATGGATGTTTAAAAAAAACCTGATTAAAAATGTAACTGTAACCATTAAAAATCCTAACCGTTACATATGCTACAGGCTCTGCAGTATAAAGCTTTTATATAAAAAGTTTTATACTGCAGAGCCTGAAGTGCAGCAGGATCCTTGGGAGTGGAGCCGGCAGCTGGTGCACGCTGAGAGCGGGCTTATAAGCCAGCTCTCAGCTTGTATTAGCTCCTGGCTCTGCTTTCGGGGAGCCAGCTTTGCTGCAGATTCTGCGGTACAACTTTATACTGCAAAGCCCACAACGCAGGGTGACAGCCAGCTCCCCAGGAGTGAGAGCCGGAGTGTCACCATAATTGAAACCGATAAGCTTGTGCTTTTCAGTTAACTATTTAAATAGTTACACTTTTATATCCCTATACAAAACTAGACAAAGATCCATAGTGATGTGACAACAATCCATAATAATGTAATTTGGAACAGAATGGCTGGGCAGCAACGAATCTTATTATATGTTATGACCAGAAAATTGCTTACCATGTTGAATTGCTTCTGAGGAAGAATGTGTGGAGACTAGATTTGTATGTGTTGAGTTCGGAGTTTCTGTCTTCAGAGGAATCAAGTTTATTCTCCTTAAAAATAAACCAGAGATACAATTCAAGTGCCTTTGACGCCTCACTACCACAAATTATTCTTTAAAAGGTTCTGTATAATATAATTTAATTACTGATTTAATTAACTTCAGTTAACTAAAATCACATATACATTTTCCCTGGCTATCTATGATACAAGACTCTCAACAGAGTATTTTATTCTTAAAGACTGAAATATTTTAACAATGACTGGATTTACTTTCCTTGAATTAGAATGTGGATATAGAGCAACACAATGCTGGATTCTTGACTTCAAATCAAATTATATATATATGAAAGATAGAGAAATTTTTAAAATTAAAATTGGTGCTAAAACAAGGTTTCTACTCTGCCTCAAGAAAGTCTGAAGAATCTCTTATCTATACCTCTGCTGGACAGTTCTAACTTTGCCCAGTAATAGCACATGTCCTTCCAGAATCTGAGTTCAATAAAACTCAAACTTCAGAAAACCAGGAAATACAGAGTAAAGGTAAACACTTGTGTAACCTTAACTTTGCCCTGCTGGAACAACTTATAGCTACTGGTAATAATCCACATGCACTGCAGTTGCATTCATTGTGCAAGTACTGAATGGTGGAATGAGAAATGAGAGATGTCACTGGGTTTACCAATGGGTAAGGGAAAAGTGCAGATGGTATCCTTTAGTGGACTATCAGGCCTGGCCCTATACCCTTCTCACCCACCAACTAACTCTGTCCCTTCCTGTTTGGCTGTCCTCCCAGATAAGCCAAAGCACAATATTTTGTCCAGGTCCCTCTCCCCATCAACACCGTATGGGGGGGTGGAGACAATGTTTCAGATACAATCATGTGCCAGTGTACCCAGGTTTGCAACTGGACCTAGTCTCAGAATCCAAACTTTTTCCTAGGGTTGACCAGAGGATCCCTAGTTCTTCTGAGTCTCACCATAACTTTCAGAAAAGGAGCTGTATTCTGTGTACTGCGTGGGCTGTACACAGTACCTTCATGGTTCCAACCCACATAATCTCAGCAGATGCAGCACACAGCTCTATACATCAACCTGCAGCACAGCAAGCTCAAAGTAGGGATGTGAATGTGTAGCTATTGACACGATTAACTGATGAGCCTGGGCTCATTGGTCAAATCTAATGGTTACACGTAGCCCCCCTTGCTGGTCCTGTATCAGAGGCAGCAAGGGGTGGAGCAGGCGGAAACTGGTACACATGGGAAGCCAGCTTTAAAACTGCCCTCCCTCTCCCTGGCTGTTGCCTCCCGCAGAGGCAGCAGCAGTGGGGGGAGGAGGGGAGGAAGAAGACGGGAGTTGGTGTACGTGAGAAGCTGGGTTTTAAGACAGCTCTCTGCATGTACCAGCTCCTGCGACACCACCTGCCCCCCGCATCTGATACAGAGGGCCTTAAAAGCTGGTTCCCCAAGAGCACCGGCTGTCTCCTGCTCCCCTGTGTGTAAATGTGTAATAGCTGAAATTTACAGTGGTTACATATTTACAAAATTAAACATGTTTTAATATCCCTAGCTCAAAGTAGTATGAAGTGGCCCATTTAGCCCAGCACAATGATCTCACATGAATAAGGTACCCCAAGAATATGAATATCACTTGAACTGACAGCTCTGAGACGTGTGAACTGGTTTATTCATGTCAGTGGGTGTTTCCATCCTCCCTTCCCAGTGCTGCAGAGTTTCTAATGTGTGTCATCCCCAGCTCTTCAACCCAGTGTCAGCAGTGTGTTTAGTATTCTTGGTGCATGCCTGTTCAGAGTTCCCCACATTTTGGTTCGCAGAAAATGGGTAAGGAGAGGGCTCTGGCCACACCAGTAAAGCAAGCCTGCTCCAGACCATGGCTCCTATCAGGGGATCCCCAGAGATGGGAAGAGGTCCTGAGATAATGATACACACATGTGGAGCAGGGACCCTCAGATCCCAAATCACCTGACAAGGGGGACAGGGAGAATGGCTTAGAGTCCTTCGCCAGAAAGGCAATGCCCCCAGAATCTGATTCAACATGAGGGACATATGGAGAGGGTCAACCCCCCAAAACACAGGTAGGGGTTCCTCTGATTCTGCAGCACACACAGAAGACAGGAAGCAGGGCTCAGACACCCCACACCTACCCCCCCTCACATGAGGGTTAACAGAGAAAAGGGATTCCATACCCCTAAGGATCAGGGCTCCTCAGATCTTGATGCACTCAATGGGGTTCAGACACCATGGGAGGAAGGCCCCCTAGAAACCAGTTTCATAGGGGAGGATAAGGATCCTCCCAAGATCCTAGTACACATAATGATGTGGAGAATGTGGGGCTAACAGGCATCTCTGTCCGTTCTCACACTAGGCCCCTTACCATTCACTCCACGTATCCCTCATCAGCTACCCCAAATCTTTCACCTCCTCACCTTCCACTCCCATTTACCTCCCCCCTTCGTTGATGCAAACCTAAACTCTTCTCACCATTCTCCTCCATGCACTCTCCCCAGCAAGCATTTTCCACCCCAAAATAAAAAAACTCTCCAAAATGGGTTTTAGCAATATGCCACCCAATCTCTTCTAAATCTGTCCAAAGTAGGGATTCAAACTGAAATTGTGTGGGTGGGTCAAGTCCATACAACTACTGCTTTTTCCCTGGAGCTATCCAGATCGGATGAAACTTTGCAAGCTAATAACCTGTTTCCTCTGTTCATGTATGTTTGGCACAATCTATTAGTCAGACAGGTAGACTTGTGAGTTTTCGTGTGTCTAATTGAAGAAGTAAAATCTTTTACAACTTTTAAATTTCATTTTCCCCAATTGTCTGGTAGGCGCCATGTATTCTGTTGGGGTAACACTCGAACCGTTGGGATACAGAGCAATAATCCAAACCTTAGTTGCTAGAATCTGTCAATTTTAAGAATAGCTGGGGTGAGGGACTAGGAAAAGTAGCTGTATCTCAGAAACCCCTTAGCTAAATGGCCCCAAATTTGGATCACTAGCAGAATCCCACATCCCCATGAGGTACACCAAATTTCAAGCCAATCCGAGTAACTGTAGATGTTAGAACACTTTACAATCACGCTTTAAATAAAAATGTGTCTTAACTGTAATCACAGCACAGATTTGCTGTAATTAAGGTATAAAATTTAGGAACCAGAAGTCATTTTGACCTTTTACTTAAAACACAAACATAACGACAAATAGCTGTAGAATTTATTTTTAAACCTCCATACATCTAAAGTGGCACAAGAACAGTTTGTTTTGGCTTTCACATTTATCACAGGAAATGGCAATATATATCTTACCTTGGCGTCTTACTCCAACCTTGTAAAGCATTTAAAGTAATCCTCCTTGGTTGGTTTACTTTAGCACTCTGGCTGGCTGGCTGCATGGGTTTCTTCTCATCTGAGGATGAAACTGGAATATTTTTTATGCTAACAGGTGTTGAAGAAGAATCCTTGTTGGTTACTATTGCTGCTGGTGTTTTAGTCTGAAGAGTGAGATTACTCGGATCCATGGTCCTGTTCGGAGGGGTTCCATCAACTGACCTAGGCACTGGGGTGACAACCTTGTGTGACTGACTCTTCTTCATTTTCTTCTCTGCTGTAGTAGGGGTTGTGACACACAGCACAGGTTTCTCTTTCAATGGTACTCCAAGTTCATCTTCCTCAAATGTCACAAAAGAGCAGTATCCATCCGTGGAAGAAATAGCAAGAAATGATCCATCACTGGACCTGTTTGGGATTTTTTTTTTTTTAAGAGGGGGGGAAAAAAAATCTGAAAAACTGAGCTAGTCTTGACCATTCTTCCCAGAAAATATCCTAACCACACAACTTGTTCCACCACCAACTAAATGTGTAAATGTAAATAACCTGGAATGACCTAAAAGACACCTTCTAACTGAAACAATACTTCATGAAGTCCAGCCTTGACAACTGATTTAGATCCTCTAGCTTTGTTTGTATTACGGAATTACCTATTTACCAACATAAAACAGAAAATTGCATATGAAGCCCACAATAGTAAATTGATTGAGAACCTCTAGTACAGAACCTAGAGATGAAGAATAGTACAGTGTTTAGGGCCCAAGCCATGAGAGACCTAGGTCCAATTTCCAGATCAGCCCAGAGACTGTGAGAGATCTGAGGTAAGTCAGTCTTTTGGTGCCTCAGTTCCCTACTTGTAAAATTTGGATTATACCACTGCCCTATCTCACAGGGGTGTTGTGAGGAAAAATACACAATAAGAATGCAAGGTGCTCAGGCACCTACGGTAACAATACAAGTACAATTGACTGAACAATGTGTAAAGCAAGAAATAGGAGTATCCTCAGGCCTTCAGAAAAGATAAGAATGACAACCTACCCTACCATGACAAATTTAAAGGATTTGTCAGTTACCTACCATGAAATATCACTCAGAGTATGATAATGTATGTTGGATACATAACCAAAGGGAAAGGACTGCTGTGTATCATAGAAAAGTACAGAATCTTCTGAAGCAACAGCAAACACCAACCGATAGGGCAGATTTATTAAAGCAGGGACTGACTTCTGTGAAGCTGCATCTAAGAATATAAAGAACATAGCACTGAGAAAAAGCACACAGACCACCACTCCATTATAATGGTATTGCTTGTACTAAATTAAGAGTCTGAAGAAAGATTTTATCATTGAAGTGTATTATTCTGGCTGAGAAGATGGCAAATTAATTATATTAAGTGAGGTACTCAGTGTTGCTCGGGTCCTTAACTTTAATTTTTGTTTTTTGAAAAATGTACATGCATCATTTGAATCATTGCTCTGGGGTGGGGCTGTGGATGAGAGAGCGCTTCAGTATGGCAGGCTGCCCTGGGGAGAGGACTACCCCAGCCCTCTCTCACTACAGCAGCTTAGGTCAAGATGAGAAGCATCTCTCCCTGGGCGTTGCAGCTCCAGCAACAATAGCTGAGAGAAAGGTGTCCCCCTGCTGGGGCAGGTCCGGACTCATCTGCCTCCCTGCATTCCCCAGCCAGAGTGAAGAATGCAGCAAACTACACTTTCCCCTCACCCCCTGACAAAGGGGAACAATCAGAAATGTTCCCATATGAATTTGGAGAAGGGGGGAAAGTGTTAGCCCATCCACCCTCCATAAAAGGTGCCTGAAGGATGGAAAGCTTGGATAGGGGCAGTCCCAGACTGGGGAGGGGGAAAGAGAGGAAGGATGCCCCCAGCAAACTTCTTTCAGCTGCCTACTGATTCTGTCTCTTTTCTGTATGGTTTTATGAGAAGCAATCCCATTTTCTGGCACTTCCCATTTTCCTTGCACAACCAACCCCCTTACCTTGCTTTAAGTTATGATAAGAGGAAACTGTGTACCCAATTTGGTGGACCTAGCTCTTACCACTTAGGAGGAGTTCTTGCATGGACAGACAGATGGGCATGCTCTCAAATATATAGTATATAATCCTATTTTCAAGTACATACCATTTTCTGGACAAGCTACTTCTGGCACTTAAAGTTGTCCTACTTTGTCTCTGCCTAGAAGGGGAATGGTTGGGGGAAAAATTGGTCTTTTGAACCTTTTTTGAATTATTCAAATAGGACCTGAAATCTTCCAGTTATACTATTCAGAACCTTTTTTGGTACTTTAACTCAAGGTCTGAATAAGCAAAGAAAAATTCACTTTAAATCACAGTTTTACCAGGTTTATATAAAAAGTAACTTGCTATGCATTCTGTTTTCTTCCTAAATTTCATTGCTTTTTTGGAATTTTTAAGTTCAACTGTTGGCTACTATTCTGATTTAGGAGTTAGTTCTTTGTATATAGTTAGAGGACAGAGATACCTAAGTAAAATTTTCTAACTGGTGCTAAAAGGAAAGCACTCAATGGTCTTTATTTTCAGAGGTGCTGATCATATAGGGGTCCCACTGACTTCCACCTTTGAAAATCAGGCCACTTATTTAATTTTAGGCATCCAAGTTTGTACATTTTGGCCTTAGTCTGGATCTTTTGCTTTCATGAGTGTGTGTGAAAGCAGCAGCAGTAACATTTTTGCTTAATAAAGGGATGAGAGATGTAGTTCTTTTCCAACAGCAGCTTTGAAAGTTATGGTGGAAAATTTAGTACTAGGTAATAAGTTCCTGTAAGGGATACTATAAATTGTGAGTTATACATGTCAAAGGAGAGGGCCTTATTGTGCTCCAGTTAGAATTGAGGAAATCTGTGCCTTTTAGCAAGAATGTGAATAGTCTTGTTTAAAAACTCTAGGATAAAATCCTGGCCCCACTGACTTCAACAGGGTCAGGTTTTCACTCCCTGCCAGCCAGTGATTATGCAGTTTGTGTACAAATTTGCCCATCACAGCTCTTCCAGTGCACACCAGTCCTGACCAGCAACACTAGTGCTATTTCAGTCAGCTTCTCCTGAACAAGAATCTCATATTGTTGCAAACTATGGCAAATTTTGTAGTGGTTCTATAGTATGGGCAATCAGGACTAACAGAAAATATTTTACTAGGTGATTCCTTAATGATGAGCCAAGTTATTTATGATTATTCAGAACAGGCAGTTAAAACGTTGGAAGAACACACTAAGTAGTTCGTCTGCAGCATAAGAAGCCAACTGAGAACATTTATCCACTGTACCAAAAAAATCACTCAAAAGGCACTTAGTACATTTAAGGCCTTAGAATCAGCAAATAGTTTCTTAGATGTGGTACAGAAGTATCCTGAAAGAACGTTAAAAGGCTGCGACATAAAATAGTACAACCTGCAGCTACATAGTCAGATTTGCCTTCCAATAGATTTGCTGTAACACAACCTCCTCAAAGGATTTACGGTACCTTTATTATGTGCTTGTCTCAACTCAAAGTAGACCGGACAACAACGAACAGCTAGAGTTGCCTTTCCGGGACAGGGCAGGTGAGCTATGGGCCTATTAGGAAAAAGTAATGTTTTAGAAAATGGCATGTGAAATAGAGGTATATATTACACACACCTCTTTATATTTTTAATAAAGAAAATTTAGGTACATTAATCCCTACCTTTTAAGATTTTTTCTTGAAAAAACATACGTAGTGTTTGTTACATTCTCTCCTGATTCAACACAGCCAGCTGAGAAAATAAAAAAAAGCTTCAAAGCATTACTCAAATTCAAAGGTTCTAAGCACACAAACTTACATTTATGAACATTTTATTTCCCAAGGATTTGCCTTATGACAGAAGGCCAGGTTTTTGCGACATGAACCCAACTTGAACATTTATCCTAAATACTACTTTAAATTTATTTTAGTTTTCCTTATATACTGCTCCAAAATAAGCTTCTCTTTGCTTTCACAAATGACTGCAACATCAATGCCTCTGCAGATAAATAGACCCCACTTTGGAATGTTATTCTTATTAACAGAGCAGAATTCTTTTATGAACAAGGAAACAAATGAGTACAGTCAGAAGAAGTTCAAAAAGAAAATACTCTTTTTTTTCTGTTAGTTGATATCTCATGAATTTAATAAAGAATGTCTCATGCAAGTGTTTACACTGAATTGAAGGTCTGAGTTTCCTGCTGTTCATTTACAAAACATCAGATTGATCGCAAATTTATACACAGGGATATGCTGAATTTAGCTTACTTTGCAAAATAGGGAACCACAGAGGCTGCTAACACCACCATGACCACCACCAGAATGTAAATAGAACAAATTATTGTTGACCCCATTTGCTGCTATAGCACATGCCCATACTGTGCAACATGCCTATGTTTCTGACATTTCAAAAGTGATGTACCTGACATAAGGGCAAATGCCCCTCCAGGGCTACCCCACGCACCTAATACATCTTTCTTTCACATACCTGGAGTGAGAAGTAAAGAGCCATCAGGAGTAAAACTAAGCCTACGGAAGAATGATTTCATGCTGTCATCATGAAACATCCGATAGCTTCTTACCTGTAACATTTTGAAAGAATAAAAAAAATCTTTAAAATATCATTATCAAGCCACCATTAATTACAGTTAACACATTGTCGTAAAGTGAGACAATCAGATAGTTACGTGATCCAGTTTAATATGTCTTCAGTGGGTCTTAAAATACTTTTACGGTTTTGCTACCTCTAAATTGCTATTATAAACTGTTATTGTGTGGTTTAAATTCTCTAGGACTAATGGTAGTCTCCCTTATACCTTTTCAAATGCTGATTTGCATAATTCAAAGGCATAGACTCCACTATTCCTCTTGTTTCCCTCTTATGTTGTTATAGCTAGCTATTTACATTTAAGTAGTAACCAGTGAAGGAAACAGATGAAGATACATGTTATTTACAGAATAAAACTATTGCTTGCATAGAACACTTAAAACATAGAAAAATGCAACTCGACAGATCCAAGAATATCATATATAGGGAGAACCAAAAATAAAATAAAGACAATAGAATAAAGAGACATTTTAATAGTTGAGTTACAAAGAGCCTACCTCTTAGTTAATTCTACTTTAACTCTAATCCTAGAAATTTAAAGATAACTCCTCAGAACCATTTCAGACTTTCCCCCCGCCCCCCCAGGAAAACCAAACCATGCTTAAGGATACTTCTTACAGAAAAGAGATATGCATTCCTTTATGGACAATAATACCTCTATACAGACAACTCTAAAAAATTATTTTACTATCTATCATTCAGAGTTAATCTGGGATGAAAACTCTTTTGCTTTTCTCTCAGGATTTGAAATTTTTCACCGATATAAACACTTTGAGTGAAAATATAACACCTGCTGGGTGACTGCAAGCTACTGCATTAGTAATATAAAT